ATGTCTGAATTTATAGCTAGATGAAATTATAGCTAGAAATTATAGCTAATTTTCTCCTATGGCTCTCCCTTGATGAGTACCTAGTTGTAAACTTAGTGCCAGATGTCTCCTGAGATACCTCAGATTTCACAGTAGAAAATTAGTCTAAGGGTTACTACTTTGTTGTATTTCTTGAGACCTACTGATATTTCCTGTCTCTTTGACAAACATGTTATTGACTCAAATTAGCTATTCATGAAAGAAGCACTGCCCTGTCTATTTAGGGAACACCTCAGGAATTTTACATCCCAACACCAGGGCTATCAAAACAAGAAAGATAAGAAATGTGTTTTTGAGGGGTAAGGCTGACTGCCTTGGTGAATTAGTCTTGGTTTTGTGGTTTGAGACTAGTCTCTGCTGGTGTTCTAACTAAGAAAACAAAACAACTGATGCAGACAGAAACTAGTAAAAGGAATCTTTCCATATTTTCCCTTTGTAGTATTCAGAACTACTTCATAAAATGAAAAAAGTGCTCAAAAACATACTTAATTGGCTACATTGTGCTAATATGCCTATGTGGTATCTTTTTAATAATCTACATTAGCTATAGGTTCAGAGTTCCTGATTTAAACCATAAAACACAGAAAATAACTTAAGTGACCTTTTCCTCAATTTTCTCAAAGATGGGACATAAGTAGGACTTCTCTAGCTTCAGATAATAGACATTTGTTCATTACATGCTATGGATGTTGTAGTTATTAAGGCCTAATTCTCTCAAAACTGGCTGAAAGTAGTTGATTGACAGTCAAGACTACCTCTAGATATATAGGATATAAATTATTGCCAACAAAAGGATAAGGATCAAAAGCCTTCAGTACTGAAAATGGTTAAACCAAAATCAAACAAAAAATCAAGATAATGCTTTCTTCAACTCAAGTTTTTTTCTGTCTTAGACATAAACGTTTGTTTTGAGATATAATTTATATACAATAAAATTCGCTCTATTTATGTGTACAATTCAATGAATTTTGACAAATTTATACAGTTATATAACAATCACTAAAGTTAAAATATGGATTTATTCCCTCATCATCCTTTGTAGGAGTCAATCTTCCTCCTCCACTTCCAGTTACTGGCAACCACCGATCAAATTTCTATCCCGAAGTTTTGTTGTTGTTTTTTTTTCCCCAAATATCATATAAATTGAATCATTCAATATGTATTATTCTGAGTCTGGCTTCTTTCTCTTAGCATAATGCTTCTTAGATTCATCCATGCTGTTGTGTGTATCTGTAGTTCTTTCTTTTTCATTGCTATACAGATACAACAATTTAGGTTTACAAAATCAATTATGAAAAACACATCAAATAATTAAAGGTGTATCAGACATCAAAAAGACATTTCTGCTGTTTTATTATCATTGAGCATTGGCTCTTCACCATGTTTTCCTGTCCATGCTGGACCACTGAGCTATCATTAATCCTAAACCACAGGTATGCAGTACCCAAGCATGCATGGCTTCTGTAGGCACAGGAATCAGCTTTCTAGCTTGCTTGGGAGCTTGCTATCACAGGATTGCTAATGGAATCATTAGAAGGGTTTTTGCTCCTTTTTTTCACACAGTGGGTTAGAGAAATATTTTGCTGATTATCTCTAAAACTGAAAACTTGTAAATTATTGTCTGCAATCTTCCAAGCCAGTCACATGTAGAAAATTGACTTTTGTCATAGTGAGAGGATAATTAAAGTTGTGAGAGCTACAACACCAATTTACTTTCCATCCTTGCTGAAAAGGGCATCTTTTCGCTTACCTTTATTTTGATTATTTGTTGGGCCTTGTGATCACTTGCTTTTGTTAGTCTTCCTCTTGCTGTGGCAAAATGTTGGGTTGAATTAGGAACCTCATCCTTTTTGTCTATTTGTAGTATAAGTGAAGCTCAGCAAACAGGGCTCCAGTGCCTCTTCTGCAGCTTTGACTAGACCAAGAGCCTTTTCTGCAGCACAAACATGGCAGGATCCTTCATGACTGTTCATTTGTACGTTTGTTTATTTGCTGTTGTTTTTGCTGAGAATGACTTTGGCTTTCTTTTCTGCCTGAGTAATTCTTACTTGTTCTTCAAGATCAGACCAAATATTACCTCCTCTATGATGTCAAATTCTCTAAGTCTTTTTAGTCATACCTGCTGAACTCTTTTCTTGTTTTATTTTAAGACCTATTACATTGCTCTGTGATAATCTGTTCACATTTCTGTATCCTTCCTAGACTCTGAACTCCTCCCAGCCAAGAAGTACATGCTGATTGTTACTGACTTAACATAAAGTACACACTCAATAAATGCTCTTGACTGACCCTTTAAATTTGCAATATAGCTACATGTAAATGCAGAGGCTTTCTTTAATTTCAAAAATGAATGATAGAAGCATTTGCTAAACAAGAAAATATGTTTAGTAAAAGCCATTTATATATTAATGTATTTAGGCAAAGTGGTAGTCATAAGATTTGATTGATCTCAGAATTGGATTTCTGTCACCCTCACGTAATCAGTATGATTATAAACCACATGTAATGGGAAAGAAAAGTCAAAGAATTAAAATAATCCCATGACTCTTGTCTCCATTGTTAAACTGTGGTATATGTATAAGCAATTACTTTAATCATATCAGCAAAATATTAGGGCTGTGGAATTAAACAATTGTTGAGTATGAGTATGTCCCATGCGATATTTGCAACGTCCTTATAATAATAAAAAAGTTTGTTGTTTATCTTAAGTTCAAGTTTAACTGCACGCCCCCTCTTTTATATGACAACCCTAGCCAAAGTGAAACCTCCACAATTCACATAGTTGAAGGACTAATAGGGAATACAGACAGTACTCTTGGAAGTCAGTTCAGAAATATATCATGAACAATGTGATGCCACGATTCTTTAGACTAGTCCATATACTTCAACTCAGCAGCATGATAATCTTTGCCAGGGTAGAGTGCAAGACCAGAAAGTGAACTGAGATCAGAAAGAGAAGTGGGAGTGGTAAAGTCACTGACCATACGGTCCTTTGTGTTAAGGACGGCAGGATTTAAAGGTCTGTAACTATGGTAGATTAAAGATGGCCACAAATTCTTTGCTACTATTTTTACTAGAGGTCTATTGACTTCCCTTTGAATGTGGATGGGCTCTGTAACTGCTTTGGCCAACAGAATAATAGCAGAAGTGACACCGTGCCAGTTTCTGAGCCCAGGCCCTAAAAGTCTGTGAGTTTTCACTTCCTGTTTCTCAGAACACTAGTTTTGAGATCTCTGAGCCTCCATGTAAGAAGTCCACCTTCCCTGAGACTGCCATGCTGGAGTAGCCACATGCAGGCACTTTGGGTTGACAGACCCAGCTGAGCGCCGACTTCCTGCTGTCACCATCAAGTGACATAAGAAAGAAGCTGTTGTGGACCATTCAGACCCACCTAAGAGTTGAACACCCTCAAGTGAGCTCCTTCAAGCCACACGGAAAAAGAAAAAAAAAAAAAAACCCACCCAGCTGAGCCTGAGCCTTCTCTGAATTTCTGACCCACGATATCTGGAGATGTAATAAAATGATTGTCTGTTTAAGCTGCCAAATTTTGTATGGGGGCTTTGTAACTATAATAGGTAACCAGAACAGTGAATATAAACACAAGTTTCCCTGATCAAATGGTGCCTTAAGAAAGAAGTATTTGCCATTGTTTTGGCATCTAAACTTCTTCATTTGTTTGTTTGCCAAGTAAATCTTGCTTAGAAAGAAATCTTACCTAGAATGCAATACTTAATAGAGCTCAAAGTCAAGCTGTCTGAGCCGAGGCTTAGCTAGGAGTCCAGAGTCACATCTTCTCTGTCCTCTGGTCCTAAACTCCACACACGCCAGGGGATGTTCTGTAGCCAAGCAGAGAGAGATTGTGAGGTATGTCTGAGACCTAACCTAAGAGGCAGGTGAACCACAAGAAGACGTGCAAACCTGGAACTAGATGCAGAGAATATGACCATGGGGAACACAGCAAAACTGTCAGCATCAGATAAAGCCCTGCTTAAATGTGCAGAAGACGGCAAGAAGTCAGGGTTGAAAACACCAACAGCTGAGCATGCTGTAACAAAGAAACTTTCTGAAGGTAGAGGGGATCCCTGAGAGAATGCAGCAAGAATCTGAGAACCCTGACAGGGAGTGTCATCCGGAATCCCAAAGGAGAATGATGCAAGACAAGGACTCTGACCTAAGCTACTCAGGGATCAAAAGACTATACTAATTCCTTTGTGAGGAAAGATTAAATAAGACCACACCTGGGTTATATGTGCTGTAATTACTGATATTTATCTGACTTAATTGCCAAGTAAATCTGTTTCTAGTTTTACTTTGGCTCTTCTCAAATTAGGTCTTTTGTTTTCTGAATATTACACATAAGATCTCTGTGTAGATAATGTTGAATGAGAAGTACTGGGAATGGGTGGCCTCAAAAGATTATCTAGTTATGTTCTTAGTACCTAAAGAGAGACTAGCTTTGAGTGAGCAAGGCCTCTGTATAAAAGACACTACTTCGATAACATACACCCGGGAGAAACTTGTACAGCTTGAACGTTGCCACACACATTTGACATTTCAGAAAACTACTGGTTTATTTAAAGCAAGGCACACTTACATTATAAAGGTATCATCCTGGCCAGGTGTGGTGGCTCACACCTGTAGTCCTAGCCTTTTGGGAGGCTGAGGCAGATGGATCACTTGAACTCAAGAGTTCAAGACCAGCCTGGGCAACATGATGAAACTCTGTCTCTTCCAAAAATAAAAATAAAGTAAAATAAAAAGTTAGCCAGGCATGGTGGTGCACACCTGTAGCCCCAATTACTAGGGAGGCTGAGGCAGGAGAATCGCTTGAGCCCGGGAGGCAGAGGTTGCAGTGAGCTGAGATTGTGCCACTGCCCTCAAGCCTGGGCAACACAGTAAGACTCCATCTCAAAAAAAAAAAAAAGTGGCATCCTATTTTAGAATAAAAACTTAGTGTATTTTTTTCTGTATATACTTGAAAAATAATTTTATCTAATAAATATGTATGATGATCATAATAATTATTTAGTCTTATTACATGCACCCTTCTTCCAAGGAAGTGCAAAGCTTTTAAACAAGCCACTTTTAAAAACTGTCACATCCTATTGCATGAAGCAACAACCAGAGAAGCCCTGACTTCGCATTTTAGTATATTAATAGGCTCAATTCCTAGCTTAACCTAGGTTGGCCCCTTGGAAGATCTTAGGAGTGTTTTATTAGGAAACAAAGTGAACATATAAAGGTTTGGTAATATCTGCACCCTGATATTATTCTCAGTATGCATCCACAGCCTACAAAGCTAAAGCTCCTTCAGAGCCAATAATGCTGCATGCTGGAAAGCAGATCAGCAAATAGCTCAAATTTATTCCCAATCCATAATGCTGACCACATAACAACAGGAAAACAGCCATGATAATGCTATCATGGCGTGGTGAGTTGTTGTAACAATAGCTCAATGGCTTGATAGCCTCTGCAGTAAAATATCTAGGCATCTGAACTTTAAAAAAAAATTGTAGCAATTTTTAGTGAGAGCAGCAAAAACATATTTGTAACCGTAAGACACTGCTTCATTTTCTTGCCTGTTAACCTTCCTGCTGGAGCAATTGCTCCCCTGGCTGCATTGTTTGATGATGAAGTGATCAATTTCTGGACACCCAGCAAGTTGCTGTATATTTGAAACTCTCCAGGGCTGGAGTAGGCAATTATTTTCACTTCCAGCTCAGCTTGGTATGTTTAACTGAACACAAATAACTTTCTATGGAAAGTGAGTGCTTTTTGCCCATCTGTTGGGCACACACATTTCAGAGATAATGGTAATAGCTCCACATGTTTTCAGGAACTGTATTTCAGGACTGATTAATTTTATTCTTGCTCTCACAGCTTTTGGTTCCGAAGGGCCGTAGTCTTCATGTACCTCAGCACTTCCTGAAGACTTCCTTGGTACTGTTCAAAGTAAGATATAACGAGTTGCTCAGTTGCATACATTCTTTACACCTTCATTGCTTGTTCTCTCAGACATGCTATCATACCCAAGGCACATGTTGAGATGGAAAGACACTGCATCCGAAGTCAAAGGACCAAGGTTTTTGATTCTCAATACCCCCCTTGCATGATGGACAACGGACGTTTCACTCTGCACTTTGCTTCTTGATTTCTTCATTGAGGAACAGTAAAGTTGAATCTGTTCCCGGCTGTCAGACTGCCAAGGGTATCAGTAGTTTGCTTTCCTCTTCTGGAAAATGACATTAGTACTTAATGCTACAGTGTTTACTTTGTGCCCAGCCATTTACTAAGTGCTTTACATATATATTTATTCTTTTACGACTCATGAAAACCCTATCAGGTAGTGTATTAGTACATTTTGCATTACTATAAATACCTAAGACTGGGTAATTTATAAATAAAATATGTTTATGTGTATATTTGGCTCATGGTTCTGCAGGCTGTAGAAGCATGGCACCAGCATCTGCTCGACTTCTTATGAGGCCTCAGGAAGCTTATAATCATGGCAGAAAGTGAAGGGGAAGCAGGTATGTCACATGGCAAGAGAGATGCCAGACTCTTTTAAACAACTAACTCTCATGTGAACTAACAGAGTGAGAAATTACTCATTACTTCAAGGACAGTACCAAGCCATTCACGAGGAATCTGCCTCCATGATCAAAACACCCCCCACCAAGCTCCACCTCCAACACTGGGGATCACATTTCAACATGAGACTGGGAGGGGGCTCACATTCCAAACCATATCAGGTAAAGGTTATTATTCTCATTTTGCAGGTGATAAAAATGAAACACAGAAAAATAAAGAAACTTGTCCAAGCTTGTACAGTTGGTAAGAAACAGCTTTGAACCCAGGGATTTGAACCCAGGCAATTTGCTCCATAATCTGTGCTGCACTACCTGCCCTTGGGTTGTTATATAGGTTAGCTGTACTATCAATAAAATGTGTGTAATAAGATCAATCCTACAGACTTCACAGGAGTGTTCTGTGTATCAGAGTCACAACTGATGTGAAAACAACGTGAGGTGAACTGAAAGTGCTTTAGAAACCATGATGTATTGTTACCTTCTCTGCAAAGTTATCAGTAAGCAACCTCACCTTTGGGTTCCAGAACTTTCCAGATGATATTAGGCAATAGAAAACTGCATCACTATTTAGTCATTTGAGAAAGTCCATGCCAAGTGCTCAAAAGTGAGTGTCTGGTGTCCAAGTCAGGTGTCTGAAGCTAGAAAAAGGCCAGACAAAAGTTCCATCAATGATCCTTGAAAAGCCCCCGGCCAGCTGGGTGGTTTTTAGTTTATGATACCAACGAGGAGCCTGGCTAGATATGAAGAGGTGTCAACACCTTTCTTCACCACTAGGCACAGCAGAGATCCCAAAAGGAAGTGGTGAGGAAAGGTGTTGACACCTCTTCATATCTAATCAGGCTCCTCATAGCACAGATCCTTTTGAATCCCCATGTCCCTCTGCTTAAAAAAAAATGTTTCTGAAGCCTTCAAATTTCATGTCCTGGTGAAACATGAGGCCTCTGCAGTTACCACTTCTCCTAAGAAAGTTATAGCATTCAAAGGAGCTGAGGCTGAGGACGGCTCATTAAAAAGGCTGTGGCCTCTTTTGGAAAGGCTTTTGGTGTTTTTTTTTTGTTTTTTTTTTTTTTTTTTTTGTTTTTGTTTTTTTTGACACAGTTTCCCTCTCTTTTGCACAGGCTGGAGTGCAATGGTGTCATCTTGGCTCCCTGCAACCTCTGCCTCCCTGGTTTGAGCAGTTCTTTTGCATCAGCCTCCCGAGTAGCTGGGATTTCAGGTGCCCACCACCACGCCTGGTTATTTTTTGTGTTTTTAGTACAGACAGGGTTTCACCATGCTGACTAGACTGGTCTCAAACTCCTGGCCTAAGGTGATCCACCTGCCTCGGCCTCCCAAAGTGCTAGGATTACAGGCATGAGCCCCTGTGCCCGGTCGGCTTTTGCTTTTTCTCCTCTGAGCAGACCTGGGGCTCCTGGATTAAATCTGACTTAGAGTAAGAAGAAATCAAGTTGGCATTAGCATAAACAAAACCTGAATAAAGGCTGAATAAGAAAAACACATTTAATTTGTTGCTCCCCAACACTCACTGCATGTTTTTTCTAGTTATGGAACTAGATAGTCACTTTCCCCTGAAAAACTCTATTTAACCTTATGTAATCCCAGTACTTTTGGAGGCCAAGGCGGGCAGATCACCTGAGGTCAGGAGTTTGAGACCAGCCTGACCAATATGATGAGAACCTGTCTCTACTTAAAATACAAAAATTAGCCAGGCATGTTGGCATGTGCCTGTAATCCCGGCTACTCGGGAGGCTGAGACAGGAGAATTGCTTGAACCCGGTAGGTGGAGGTTGCGGTGAGCCGAGATCATGCCATTGTGCTCCAGCCTGCGAAACAAGAGAGAAACTCCGTCTCAAAAAAGAAAAAAACAAAGAAGTGCAGAATGGTTCCGGTGGCCATGTTTCCTTTGAACAATTTCTCTTGAAGTCTAGGAGGATGCAGTTGGGTGTCTGCCATCTAAGATTTAAAACAAAGGTGACATATGGGCAGCCTATAGTCTGAATCTGACAGTTCCCCTCCCCTCAAAAATTTATTATGTTGAAAGAATTGGTTAGTCGTCACCATGATTCAAAAGTCAGATGAGTTCCTATAAAATCTAGATTGATGGCTTAGGAGGAACTGGAGGATTGCAACAGCAGGCCCTCATCCTTACATGGGTACAGCCTGATAAAGGTGATAGTGGTTATCTCTCCCGGTTACCTGCCTGTTTCATCACTCAGCTATCTGCCTAGCCATTGTATTCACAGAGCTCCACCTAGTCCCTAGTGACATTTGGGGCCAGATAATTCTTTGTGGTGGAGGCTGTCCGGTGCATTACAGGATGTTTAACAGCAGCCCTGGCTTCCACCCTCTAGATGCCAGTAACATCCTCCCACTCCTCAGCCTCTTACACCCCAATCCCACTCCGATTGTGACAACCAAAACTGTCTCCAGACACTGACTAGTGTCTCCTGCCTGAGGCGGTGGGAGTAGCTTCTGGTTGATAGCCACTGTGTTAGAGCCTGCAAACTCATAAAACAGTATTGCATATTCTTACACATTAATATTGCTGCCTTCTTAGGCTCAAAGTGTTTCGGGATACTTGTCTTGAAATTTCTGACCAGATTGGAATGTTCTTTCCTTCTAAATGAGCTTTCTTATAATCATTTTCCAAGATTATTGGGCCATTAACTGGCACTTGAAGGAATTTAACAAGTCACCAGTGTCCTCATTTTATAGGTTAAGAAAACTGAGTCCCAAGGAGGTAAATTGCCCTCGGTCACATAACTGGCTAGTGACAGAGCTTGAACTGGAAGCTAGATTTGAATTCCTAGCTCTTTACTCTTTCCACATCATAAAAGGTTTGAGCTATAAAGAAAAATGTAAGCATGACATACAGATGACCTGGTGTGTATATTTAACTATATTTATCATGGCTGCCCTTCTAGGTGACTTCAGGTCCATTGTTATTATTTCTGTATACTGCCATACTATGGTACCTCTCTTCTACAAATAAACTGCTTTGTTAAAAAACAAAACAAAACAAACCCAACAGCAAGTGCTTTATTCACTGATTACCTGTCTGGATGACTTAGGTTAAAAACATGGGATTTAAATGATTAATCACAAACTACAATACTTTCAAACCATCTACTGCCAAAATAGTTTTTCCACTCTTTGGGGCCTGAAAGAATGGGCACCCTTTGGTGTACCCATAGAAGGACCCAAAGAAGGAAGTCTATTTTATCTGGGGTGCCTTCTTTAATTTGGTGGTCTACTCTTGGAATTTACATCACTGCTCGACTTGGGAAACAAGGATATGAGTGTGATTCCTCAGCTACATTTTGGGAGGCTGCAGGTTGGCCCTGAGGGTGCTACAGAGGCTGGGAAGCTGTGTAATGAATCCAGGAGAAGAGATAGCTTTGCCAGAAGTGCTGAAAGTGCTATGGTCATTTGCAGGACACCAACAATGAGCTTTACCTCCCACCTCACAGCCTGCCCTTCATACCTTCTGCAACTGGGGTGGGGTGGGGCGCACAGCCCTTATCTATTTACACCTGCTTGACAAGGTTTCCCCTTTGAAAACTGACCTTACTGTTCATCCTTACTCAGCTTTTCTGATGCCTGGGTGCTTTTGGGGAAGAGAGAAAATGCCATCTAAGACCCTTGGGAAGGGCCCAGCAATTAGATGTTTCAGGCCTTCCCATCCACCTAATGTACAGCAGCTTCTGGCCCAGAGAAGAACAAGGGGGCAGGGGTGATGTTTTTGATCTGGAGCAGGCAGAAACTTTGAAAAAGACCCCATCGTTTGCCTTTTTGTTTCTCTCAGTGGCATGTTTTCCTGCCTCAGCTTCTGATATCTTTACACTCAAGTTCTAAATAACCCCACATTGCCTCAACATATCAGAAAATTACTGGATTTCGTAAAATGCTTTCCCCCAACTCCACTACTACACTGATGATGGTAGAAACCAGAGGTAGCTGCTCTCTTACCCTTAGTTGTATTCTCCCAGTATGGTGGGCTTATAAGGAGGAGAAAGGGACTCTTTCCTTACTTCTGCCATTATTCTTCCCATACATTGCTTTTGTTCTGTTTTGGGTAAGTGTTCGGTGGGATGAGGGCTTTTGTCCCCTCCCTGCTTAACCTGCCTACCTTGCTTTTTGGTCTGAGGAAAATTGACTTTTGCAACTTTCTGCTCTGACCCTTCAGTGCCATTTGTATAAACTTCAGCCTAGAATCCAGTCGATGTTCAGATGTAGAAGCATTTTGGAGAAGTGGGAGGTAAATTGAGGTCCCAGCAAGCAGCTATCTGTTCTGTCATGTGCCTCTGTGTATATAAGATATTTGGTGCCTTCTTCAAAGATGTTTTTACCTAACCACCAGAGTGTCTGATTAGTAAGGGCACTTCCTAGTGTAACAATCTACAGGGATTTTTAAGCTTTGGTTTCCAGAGAACATTGTCACTGAGGGGATTGTACTTTGAAGTGAATGCTTTATGTTGTTTCTTATGACAAGGGGTATTTTGTCAATAGTTGTAGCTAGACCTCCTGTAACTGTAAATTATCTGGTTACAAGTATCAGGAGCTGCAAAGAAAAGTAAACCATAGTCCCTCACTTTATTTTTCATTTTTATGTCCAGATTCATGACTTAAGGAAATGGGGCAGGCACAGTGGCTCACTTTGGGAGCCCAAGGTGGGTAGATTACAAGGTCAGGATTCTGAGACCAGCCTAGTCAACATGGTGAAACCCCATCTCTACTAAAAAAAATCAGAAATTAGCCGGGCATGGTGGCAGGCACCTGTAATTCCAGCTACTTGGGAGGCTGAGGCAGGAGAATCACTTGAAATCAGAAGGTGGAGGTTGCAGTGAGCTGAGATTGCACCACTGCACTCCAGCCTAGGAGAAAGAGCAAAATTCCATCTCAAAAAAAAAAAAAAAAAAAAAAAGAAAGAAAAAAAAGAAAGGAAGAAGGAGAAAATGGGACAATTCCTTCTGGGTTTTTTGTTGTTTGTTTTTTTGTTTTTTTCCTTAAACTCGGGGGCTTTGGTGCTTGTTGATATCTAGTCAACACCAACAGCCGATAATGACCACTTACTGTTCTGGCCCACGTATTCATTTTTAGTTTTTAAGGGATGTCATATTAAGGAACTGTGTTTATAATTCAAATTTCAGAGCCATAGGGAGCTACGGAGGCTATACAGTTCAATCATCTCATTTTATAAGTGAAGAAATGGGGGCCCTGAAGAGAAGTGCTTTCTTCTGGGTTTACACAGCTTGTCTCCGGCAGAGGTGGAAGTAGAACCAGGCTCTTCCCCTCTAGACCATGTGCTCTTTTTCATGAACAGTGCTGTTCTCCTTTACCTTTCCCTACCTATTTCTGACCTTCTTTCTTTGGC